AAAGTGCTACTCAGGGAAGGTTGGATAGCTTTTTTACCATATCACCGAATATAAAAACCCCATCTAAGCGAAAGGTTTGCAATTTATTTATTATTTTTTTTTATTTGCTTCAACTCCTAAGATAATTTTAATAATAATACATTTAGAACGAGGAAGATAAAAAAGTTACTGCATCAAAAAAAACAAAGACCTCGGGTAATAGAGGCAGACCCAAAAAGTAGATGCAATTTTATAACGTATTGTTATTCCGATACATTTAAATTTGCTTGATAATAAAACAACAACAATAATAATATATATATATATATATATGTAGTTTTCTTAATTTGCAAAGATAACTTCTTAAAGTTCAATAAAATTAAAAATTTAACATAGAATTCAAATGAGTTATTGTATATTTAAGTAATGACTAATAATTTATTGCATTTAAAATATCTTTTATTAAATAATAAGTTTATTGTTATAAATTTATAAGTAATAATTAACAATGGATATCAACTATATTATACTTTAACCATAAATTGTTTTAATTCAAAAATTTTTTAAATAAATATTAAGCTTGTTTTTTTTCAATTCTTAATATATATACAGTATATATTTATTTATTTGAGAAGACAAAATAATTATTATTTCAGGGTGGGTAGTGTCAGTTAAATAGACTGTTCATGTAATGACTTTGTAATCTAAATTGATTAATAAAAGCCGCGTGTGTATCACACTTAGCCCAAAAAAAAAATAATAATAAAATAATTATTATTTCAATAAAAACCATGGCATTTAATGCCCATTCACCTTAAAAAAAAAAAAAAACAAAATGATTATTATATTTTTTGAATTTTATTATAATTTTAGACTTGATAAAACAAGATTACAATTTTACTAGAATAATATATTTTTTTTTTTGCCAGGAAGAGCTTAATGCAAGACTTGATATTTAGTTTACTTATCTATACTTCTAACATTATTCAAGAAATATAATAAAAAATTTCAAAATCTATATCAAAGTTTTGAATAATATTTAATTACTTAAAGATAGTTTAAATATTTAAATATATAAAGATACTATAATTATTTTATATAGATTGATCTTCAAGTCATAATTAGAATTAATATACTTGTTTTCAAATATGGCTTGATATATAACAAATAAATTATTATAGAAGCAATTTCAGTTTAAGAATATTTTATTATATAAAAATATTGCAATTACTTTATACAAGTTGACCTTTAAGTTACAAAAAGAATTTGATATATCTATTATTCAAATATAAAAAAAAATATTTAATAGATAAAGTTAAGTTAAATATTTTTATAGATATTAATATTTAATTTTATATAAGAAATGTATATTGTTAAGAAGTAAATAAAAAACTTTTATTATTATTATTAACTCTGTTTATAAAATAATTAAAATTCTTGATTATTATATATTATTTTATTAAATTTTCCAATTATCAATATAAAACCTATATAAAGTTTATATTGATATGGACTATTATTTTGTTCTAATAATATACTTTGCTATATCACAAAAAACTAAAATTTTTTATTCAAAAAATTTTTCAACAAAAAATCATAATTAGTTTACTTTTGTTAATTAATTATTATTTTAAACTCAATCAATTAAATACTATTAAACATTAAAAAAAATTTATATATTTAGTATACTATACTATGATCAACAAAAACAAATCTTTTTTGATAATAATAATAAAAATAAAATCACATGTCCAATATATTTTTTAGTAATTAATATAAATAATACTATTATATTAATCATTATAATCATAACAATTATTACTTTATATTAACTAAAATATCAAATAATTTATTTATTATACTTATTATTAATTATACTATAATAATAATAATAACAATAATAATAAATAAAAAAAAAAAAAAAAAACTCTCTCCTGATCGCGTCCGTTTTCTTAAAAATTTCCATATATGGTAATTTTGGTTAAAGAAAAATGTTTTACACTCTTTATCGCAAGTGAGCTCCAGCTCAGGAACCCAAGAACACTAAAGACAACTGGTGCAGTGGGATGGGACCTCTGGTCGAAGTCTACTCAAGTTTGAGAGTCTTGTTTATCCTTCGGTTGCATGGGGAAAGGCCCGTGGCAGTATACTTTGGTTCTTTGGTTTTCTTGCAACCCATACCTCCTTTTTATCATGAAAACCACCTCCATATATATCATCATAACTGTTATATTCATAAACACTTTCCAAAAAACACACTCAAACAAAGTTGTAGGTTCTAATGTTTGTTTTAACACAACCTTCACACACTTTTTTATCCTGGCGTCACTTACTGCGCCACTCAAAAAAAATCTTCAATCTTTTTTGATCATAAAAACCAAAATCAGTTTACCCCCTCCAATTGATCGACATCTGGCAATCGTCCAATCAAAATTCACTACATCACTCAAATCAAAACAACAAAACTGGTTTAAACCGGTTTTCCAATTCAATCACAACAACAATAACAATAACAACAACAACAACTGGCTCAAACCGGTTCACCTGTCCATCACTACCATAATAACAACAACTATTACAGTAAACAACTTCAAGTATATTCTACTATCCGTGTCAAGAAAAGAAGTATCAACAAGTCGCAAAGAACTGAAGAGACGGGACGACGAGCCCGGCCGGGGGTTCTCTTGGGGATTCAACTTTTATTTTCATAGATTTTATAATTTATTCGACTTAGTTTCAGTTTTAGTTAGCTTTATTTTTTTTCTCTTCAAATTTCCAAAATGTAAAAACTTTTTTTCTGAGTAGATAGGCATAGCCGCTACTTGGCCTTTGTTTAGCAATTAGTATAGTTTTAAAATATCTTTTCTGTGCTAGTTAAACATCGTATAAGTAGGCAAGCTAGCATTTAACTTATTGTATGCTTTTGCAACTAAGAGATGTTGGTTCTTTTCAAAATGTATGCTATTATACGTATGAAATAATAAAGAACTGGTGTTTATCTACTTTAAAAAAAAAAAAAAACAATAATAATAAATAATATTATTTATATTTCAATATTTGTATTAAAAAAAATTATATTAATAAGTAAAAAAAAATCAGAGAACTTGAATAATAAACTGATTTGAAGATTCTTTTAAGGATATAAAATTTATTTTTTCAAATATTATAATTTAATTGATCCAGTTTTGTTTTAATTATATCAATAACAAATCAATTATTATATTAAATAAATCAATTATCATATCATTAAATAAATAAATTATTAAATTAATTATCAATTATATTAATATAATAATTATAACAATAAGACTAGTAAATCAATAATACAATGGATAGTGTTTTCTGGTTTCCAAATGCATATTCTTAGTTTAATACCTACAGAAGATAAAATATATTAAAAAAAATCATCTTTATTTATGAATTTATCAAATTGCTATAAATGTCATATCTAGATATCTGGATTATGATCAAATTTAGTTAAGCTATATAAAGATGGGACCTTTGGTCTTTCTGATGATCGTGGGCTAAAAACAGGTCAAAGTAAAAAAGGTTGCATGAGGAAAGGCTTTTGGTCTAACTCTGATAAAAACTTATAAATTCATATCTATTGATATAGCAGACTTCATAGTACAAAGAACACTCTAGTCTAAGGCTATTCCAATCTGGCACTTGCTTAAAAGAAAAGAATTCCTAAAGAAAATCTGAAGCCATAAATGATAATAAAAAGTATAAGTACCTTTTTTAAAGAATTAGACAAAAAGTATTTGGATTATTCAGGTGTTCTAATCAACCCTGCAAGATATAGGATCTTTAACAGTGAGTAGCCATAAGGTTACTAAATTAAAACTTAGTAGGAAGGTTGGATTTAAACTGATGACAGAACTTTCAACCTCTTGAATTTGTCCTACCTAGTGTATGGGCTATATATGTGGCATAAATTATTTTACTATTGATTCAATTGCCAAAATTCTCAAAAATAATTATATCTGACTTAATTATTTTATATATTTTAATAGTGACTCATTTAATTATATCAAATAATTATATCAAATTGTATCAAAGATCTATCAATTTCTATTATATATATAGTATAGATCCCATTTCTATAGTAATAAATTTGTATAGCTAGATTAAATAAGTAGTAAGAATAGATTAACTTAAATGGATCTTTAATGTAATATGAATTTGTTGGATATAAATAACTCAATAAAAACCAGTATATCTAATACCTTTTATCTTAAAAAAAAAATAATAATAATAACTATAACAATAACTATAATAACAAATAATATCACTTATATTTTACTATTTATATTAACAAAAGTTATATTAACAAAAGAAAAAGAATTAAAGAGATTGAACAACAAGCTAATTTAGAAGTTCTCTTAAAAATATAAATTTTATTTTTATAGATTCTATAGTTTATATAATTTAGTTTTGTTTTAGTTATTCATATATTTCAATTTTATTTTTTTTTCTATTCCATTTATATTTTAATTTTTTTTTAAATAGATAGACATAGCTACTATTCAGCTTACATTTAGTATTAATATTGTTTAAAATTTCTTTTCAGTATTAGTTAAATATAGTATAAATAGGTAAGTTAATATTAAACTTATTACAAATTGTATATAAGAGATATATTTTTTTTTTTTTTTTTTTTTATATCTAATCAGGCCATATAGTTAAGTTTATTTGCATTCATTGCCGGGATTTATCCAAGGGATTTACCCAAGAGAGATCAACCCGAGGTACAATTTGAATTTACCCAAGGTACAAAAAATAGATACATATAGTACTGGTCATAATTATACTAAAGATTAACTTATTACACATATACGGCACACCCGTCAATGGCCACTGGCCTCTAGATATGATTAAGGGGAATGAAAAAAGTTGCTCTATTTTGATCCACTATTCCTTGTGAATCTCCATATTATCACCAGCCCTTCACTCAAGACTGTTCACCCCAACTTAATTTCTGTGGTCCTAAGGTATAAAATTTTTATTTTTTTTCAAGAAGGTAAAAGGGAATAGTAAAGGAGAAAAGAAAGATTTGCACCGGTAAAATAAAAACCCAACAACACCACCAGCCTAATGAGAGCCTTGATCTTGAGGAGAAAAGAAACCAGCACAAGAGGGGAGGGGGGAGACTTCC